TTGGAAGTAATCATCCGTAGGTTTTATTACTTATTGTTTATTTCTGGTTTTCTTTTTCTTTTTCTGTTATCCATATAAGCAACTACTATATATATATATTATATTTATATAGCATCCGTGTGTTAGAGTTTTTTTTTATATAACCTCAAAACAAGTAGCGGATCTAAATTCTAAAACACATAACTATGAATTAATATAACAAACCATATACCAAAAATTCTTATCCACTAAAAGCACAACAAATTAATATTAATAATTCCAAACTGTAGATATCTATTCTCTTAGTAGCGGATCTATAAATTCAAAAGAGAAAAAACTTCAAAAAAAAATATCTAAGTTTGAAAATTGATAATTACTAGCTTATAAATGGATTTTGAAATGATTATCGCATGAAATTTATCCGTAGTCATAGTTTAGATTTTTGTTTATTTATTTGTTAATTTTTATGAAACATATCAGAATTAGAAATCTTGTTAATTATATGAATTTAAACAAAAAATACAGACATATGATAATCGACTAATACAGTAATACTGAATTTGATTTGAATCATAATTATGTCAACGAGACACTGAGACAGGTCATATATACCATACAAAAAATGAAAAAAAAAAAAAACAGGATATCCACTTTGTGTCACACAGTACATTGTCTCCTCGCCATTCAACCTGAGTCGCTCCTTTAGGCTGATAACTCTTATGACCCAATTAATGGATGAGGAGGATAAGTGAAATCTTCTCACTCATATGTATAGGCGGTTAAGTGATTCTACAGTATGTACTCTTTCGTATATAGAAATTTCCGACCGTAAACATCAGAAACATTCATTGGACCATCTTATGTTGTTAACCAATCAAAGATCAATCTACAATTCAACAGATTTTTTTTTTTATTTATAGCTTTAACTCTATGGGGTTTTAATTGATATTTTAATGACAAGAGTTAGTAAATTACTATATGTACAACTATGGGGACTCGTACACTTTTATGTCGACTCATACGATACGTTACTGATTTAAAGATATGTTTATTTCTGACTAAGAATGTTAGTTGAAGAAACTTACCGTCGGCCACAACCATGTTTCAATTCGGTTCAATATCTCTTTTCTCTCTTTACAATTTTCTTAGCTGCAAAACTATTGTTTAATAGCTATCCTTTTATGATAGATCTTTTTTTTTGTGGTGTCAAACTTATTAGAAAAATGTTTTACTTTTAAAGTGGAAAAGAGGGATAAGTAGAGACTGCTTTTAAGATAGATATATCCAAGAGAACATGAGGCAACACCAATCGTATTGAGATGGTATAAGATCAAATACTACAAAGGGTAATCACATCTTTGTCCATTTGTACCATGGTTTTTTTGACATTGGATACGTACCCATGCGAATCAAGTGGTTTTATTCTACTAATTTCTTTGTTTTGGTCCAAACTGAAGTTATAATTTTTTTCTGGCTTTTTTAGTATTTATTATGGACTAAAAATACAACATTAGACACATATAAATAAGCTTAGATGCATACTATTGGTTACGTAAATATGCTTAGACACATATTTCCGCTAGCGTAAATAATCATTTATGCATTAATCTCAAACAAAATTGCAAACTATCTTGATAATACTAATTCACAGGGGACGCTCATGAATGCTATCATAGTAATCGTGTTCTTACATATTTATTGAAAAGCGTACTTATATGTGATGTATCACACTCGAATTTAATGCGTTATTTTTAATGGCCCGGTTCAAATTTATCATTGCGTTTGAACATTTCGAAAAAATTATAAAAAGTCATGGGATTTTTAGTTGGGATAAAAAGGTGGATGGCAAAGGATGGGGTTTTTATTAGGGAATCAACAAGATGTTTATGAACTAGAAGAAAATGGCAAAAGGATGCCGAAAGAAAAAAAAATGTTTCTTATTATTACACCGTCTGCCATGTACCGCGCGTGGTTATGTGGAGCTAGAATAATATGTTATGAACAACTGAGTTTAAGAGCGAGAGGGGTTGGCGATAACAGATACGCTTCTTGTAGTATTAAATGGGGAGACAACATAATCTATAAGCCGCCTCACGTATGCATGAGATGGGCTGAGGGGATGGATAGTTATTGCGATTTACTAATGCTGGAACAAGATTTTTGTAGTGAGTGGGCGAGAAAGTGAAAATATCTGCGTACACCTAGGTATGTGGAGGCTCCATAAATAGTGGTTTCCTCCCTCTAATTTCATGTAGCGCTACACTCGGTTGGAGCAGGTATACATATATTCTGGTACAGTCATTTCGTTTATGAATATATATGACTAATATTGAAGTGATTCTGTTACTAATAACAACATTCTCGTAGGGGGGGGGGGGGGGTGGCGATTTGTGTTGCTGGATGGATATAAACTTGGTGCAGGCCGGATATAAACTTGTAACAGATTATTTGAAAATGATGGGGATTTGTAATGATAAAAGTGTATTATAGATGTCTATTAACATTAATGGAGTGTTATATTCATCTCCAAAAGTTATATTGTTCCACAGATTGTTATATTTACTCAGCGGATCACGTATCCGTAAATTATATGATAGTGTGTTATTTTCTTTCATGAATTTTTATGTTGCTCCTATAACTATTATATATGTTAGTATATGAGGCTATATAGCTGTCTATTAATATTAGTGGAGTGTTACTAAATATGATGGACGATTATCTGAATGGCTGCTAAAAAAACACTATATTGAAGAGTAAAAAACGTTAAAGACATCTAATGTATTTGATGGACTGGTTTACTCAGGATTGGATCAAACATAGAATGTCATATTGGATGTGGTATATAAAGGAGATGAGCTGTATTTGGGTCGTGTGTTCAAGAACAAACAAGACTGCAAGGTGAAGATAGCTGTTCATGCCATAAATAGGAACAAACAAGACTGCAAGGTGAAGATAGCATCTCCATGTGATCCACATTGGGGTCATCTACTTCATCGGCCCATGCGAAGGCACTTTGGGGAGTTCCATCGAATTCGCCTTCGATTATTGTAGTCACGGCCACCTACAAAAGAACACCCGCATACTGATTTATAAGGCCACATGCTCAAACTTAGACATCTATATATTCGGGTATCTGATTACATTGTTGGAGATTTATAACATAAGATACAGGGCTACCCGAGTTTATAATGAAGTTACCTGTCTGGCAGAAGCGAGATCCCAAAGCTTATCTAGTTAACCATTGGAGTCTAACTAAGAGTAATGGATGACTAGAAATCAGAGCGGCTGTGCATATATGCATGTGAAGATCTGGTTTGGAGATCTGATTTTGTTTGAAATGTTGAGAGTACCGAAGATGGATCCGAGATCTCCAAAAAATCTAAGCATCAAATCAACGTTTGATAATAGATTGAGTTGGGCAAGATTATTTACCTTTAACCATAGTACTTTCGGAATCTCGCCAGATCTGTTAAACTGTTGAAATCTTGAGAGAAAAATCAATAGATTTGGAAAGGAAAGTCAATAGAGAGAATACATGTATAATCGAGAAATTGTTGGGAAAGAGAATCAAAGAATTGTTGGCAGAAAGAAGATGAAGCGAGGGGTGGAGGAAGATGAAAGCAGTATTGGAGGAAAATGAAAATGGTGACGCAAGAATGAATTGGGAAGACGAATTAATAATAGAAGAAGACAATATATCTGTGTCAAACTCTTTAATTATTAACATTGAATGAACATCACTTAGACATCTATCAACAATTTTGGATGACTGAAAATCAAGAGATATTAGAAATAATGTTTAGATTTTTCTAAAATTAAATTGGCGAGCGCGTAAGGCTAAAATTGTAAACAAAGATGGCGAAATAATTTAATGCTTAAACCTAAAAATAGCATATGTCGATTACTTAATTTACTATCGGTCGTATGCTATCTAGTGGTATTTCCCTTTTTAGTTTTATCATCATGTATGAAAAAGATTAAATTTCTCCACAATCACTTTAATAATCGCTTTGTGTATAAGTGCTTTCAGTGCTCCGCCAGCGAAAGAGTAGCCATAATGCGTTATATGAAATGTCTTAGTCACGGTAGATTCTTAAACTAAATTAAATGTCGAAAGTGGAAAAAAACATGGTTATTTTTCGGAGAAATTGAATTATTAGATGAAAATATTGTGTTACTACCACTAACGTTTGAATTTTGGGATCAAAATCGGCAAAAAAAAAAAAAAAACGAATTGCATGCTAAAGTTTTCTGTTTAAATCTCTTCCCGGATAAGACCCACTAAACCAAATATATATGTTTCACATTTATGAGAAAATGAGACTTCTTGTATATGTAATGAAGAATTCAATACAAAATAAATTTGACATAATTAATTTAATTAGCTCTAACCTTATGTGAATGAAAAATTAGGTATGTACATTCGATTTTTTATTAGTCGATTGGGTTTGCGTTTTTAGATTTTGGAAAAACAAGTATAAACAAGTTTAAAGTTGGCTCGGTTCGATTTTGAATGAAAATATTATTAATAATAAATATATAATAAATGTAATTTTATATGGTTTTAATTAATATAATGAAATGTATTTAAATCTTGGTATATATATAAATATTATTTTTAATAAATTTTGGTTTGTTTGCTTTTGTTCGCTTCACAGTTCACATGCACTAAACTCAGATTCTGTTTGGATTCGTCATTCGTCTTGGTATATTCGTTAAAAGAATATAACCTTTCAACTAAAATAAAATTCAGTTTGAGTTCGGTTTTAGAAAAGTTTATTCAGTTTGGTTTATCCACCTTCGTTTTTGGTTTTATGCCCAGCCCGAGTAAGCATATGAAAAACTATTAATTTTATAATAACTTAATTATTTAGAAAACCAAAAAACTGAACTTCAGAAAATCGATTATTGGAAAGAACAACGACAAAACCATTATGACATGCTTTGCCAAATTGAACCAATAAATTCAATTATTTTAGAAAGAAAGAAGGTTTAGACAAATTGAACAAGTATTAAGTAGTAGTTTTTGTGTGTATGCAAAGAATAAGTAAGAGCTTTGTTCTCATTCATTGATATAAGAAAAAGGTAGAAATAATAATATGTTAGTATCTATGAATGAGAACAAAGTTAGCCTTCAAATACTAACAAATCTCAATAAAAGACTTCATCTCCATGTGTAATATGAAAGTGTCAACGACAAGTCTACACAAAAAGGCTAAGAGGTCAACAAGACCACACAACACTTCTTACTATTAGTTTGCAAAGGCTGTTCGTTGGACACTTCTCTCTATCTCTCTCCTCCTCTCTTCTTCTTCTTCTTCTTCTCCCTATAAACTCTCATCTTTCACATTGTTCTTTTCTTGCATTCTTCAATTAAACCTCAAACTTCATTTATCTTACTTTTTGTATCACTCCAATATTTATGGATAATACCGACCGTCGTCGCCGTCGTAAGAAAAACAAAGTCACTCTCCATGACTCTGAAGGTCCCTCTCTCTATTCCCTTATTACTTTTTCTTCTACATCGAATTTTACTTGTGTGCGTATATTTTCATGGGTAGAAGCAAGAAATATATGCTTTTGCGCATCTTGAAATTAAAGCATATCTTGGCATCGACTATAAATTTTAGTTTCCTAAGATACGATTTTCTTTGCGTGAATTCGAGACGTTTTGGCCTAGTGATTTAGAGACTGCTAGCAGAAAACGAGGCATATATATGTTCATTTCTAAATTACTTAACGCTAAGTAACTTCAAAAACGTATTTCAAAATTAGTTTCTACTTGTAACAAAAAAAATCTTTTTAATTTTAAGTTTTTCTTAATTTAAAATTTGTTTTTGAGTTTTTTTTTTTAGTTTAATTGGCTGAATAAAAAAAACTTTGTGCAGAAGTGAGCAGTATCGAATGGGAGTTTATCAATATGACTGAACAAGAAGAAGATCTCATCTGTCGAATGTATAGACTTGTCGGTGATAGGTAACGGTTTCTTCTTCTTCTTCTTATTTTTATAGCTATGAATTATCTCGTCCCAAAGAAAAATGATATATTATACATTGGTAGGTAAATTATTTAATATGCTTGTGTATTTCCAATTTAGCATACGTTAATTTAGGCATGTACTTACGTTTCTACAGTGTACCATATGTTGTAGAGGAAGCACATGGCGTCCACTAATTTTCTCAAAAACATTTAATTAAAGCTATCGCGTTCATTAAATTATATACGTACACATACATACATACATCTAGGCTTTGCTTTATCGTTAGGTACTAATGTATAAATGCTTGGCTGGCTCAAAAATGGAATATGAAGTGACAAAATAGAATTTAAATGCAAACAAAATAAATGTATAAAAAGTGTAGTTTGTGTTTTGTTTAGGTGGGATTTAATAGCAGGAAGAGTGCCAGGAAGACAACCAGAGGAGATAGAGAGATATTGGATAATGAGAAACAGTGATGGCTTTGCTGAGAAACGACGCCAACTTCACCACTCCTCTTCTCACAAAAATACGAAACCTCACCGTCCACGTTTTTCTATTTATCCTTCCTAATTAGTTTTTAATTTCATTACAATTTTATTCTGTTTTATGCTCACCAACGAAAAAAAAAAATGAACAAGAAAAAAAAGTGGTGTATAGTAATAGTAGTAGTCCTTGTTAGCTAGAAGAACTTCTCATCCATTATTTTCTTTTTGTTTTGATTTTCATTTTTTATGATGTAGGTTTCATTTGAGAAAAATATTTTAAATCAAGTGATTAAAAGCGCGACCATAGCCACTAGAGTTCGACTCCACCTTCCCCCAAAAGGTTTAGAAAATAATCTTAGTTACCTATGTTTAAAAGCGCGACCATAGCCACGTGAGTTGTAGACATCAAAAAGCAAGATTGTAAGATATTAAATACAATTTTTTTAGCAATGTAAATAACTAAAATGTCCCATTTTTATCAAACGATTACGATACGACATAAATATAATTTTTTTGTTTATATCATTAATAATTTAGCATCTTTTTAAACCTACCTATTATTTGAATATTGTGTCATAGTGCTTTGTATACTCTTCTAGTTATGTTTACACACCTACTTTAAATTTTGGTAGTGTGTATGATAAATAAACTGTACGAAAATAAAAAACAGATGTTTCATGTTTGATAGGTAACGAACATATATTTAACTTATTTTTGAAACTGACTCTTTTCATGGCTACCATTCAATTCTATAAGATTTCCGACATGAGTTGACTAGTTTCGGCTATGAATGTACATTTTTATTTTGAAATTTAAATTGCATATATTTTGGTCGTGGGGAAAATTTAAAGGAAACTTTTAGGATTTTTAAATACTTTAAAGTGTGACTAGGTAACATCATAATTGATACACTTTTTTCAACATTATACTTTTTTTTGGAATTTATTAGATCAAAATGGAACACAAAATGGAATACAAAGTGAAATACAAAATAGAATACAAAACGAAATACATAAAGAGATAAAAGGTATAATATAATCTTTATACAAAAAAAAAATTAAAATCTATACGCTCAAAATTTTAAAATCCTTAAAATTACTACCAATTAGTAAATGTTTTTCATCCATGGTTACAAAATTCAAACCCGTAACGTTTTTAGCTACCAAAGCTTGTAATTGAGGAGGTATTTCACATAAATTCAGAAGTTTCATTCAAGAAATTAACACAATTTATATAAAGAACTTTCCCTCGGTGTCACCATAAAAGGCAATTTACCCATTTATATATGAGCAAGTGTAAGCCTGACTCTTGTGAGAAAGAAAGAAGAAGTGTAAGCCTGATAATTGAATTCAGTCCCCAATTAGTTGAATCCATTATATAAAACCGAACGACCGATCGTAAAACGTCGCTAGCCCAATATAAATAAGAATAATATGGGCCCAAAAGATAAGCTCAGGTCAAGATTTCACAGTCGATCTCGATTTGTAAGTTCAGTACGCTTTTTCCGTTGTATTTGAGTGGAAGTGTGTGGATGGATGGATTATTTGTTCTGAGTTCTGACAGTCAATTAGTTTGGAACTTTGGATACCAAATATGAAATTGGGTTTAAGCCTTCAAAATCATCACAATGATGAATCAAGAATTGTGTTTTGGTTATGTGGCTAAGAGATCGGTTGCATCTCGAACATTAGTTCGCTTTGATAAAAATAGACCTGGCAAAATATATTTTTTTTATCCTCACAACTCAAAAATTACATGTTCGATGAAATTTAATCAAATTCTCGATTTGACTAATATATAATCGAATAATTTTTTTACAAATTAGTTCTTGCACATATATGTGGTGTGTATACTTTAACACAATATAACTTCGAAACAAGACAATCCATTAAAAATAAAATTTTAGAAAGCAATCGTGACTATTATGTAAGAAGTTGTAAATTCTTAATATTCAAGCATCGATCACTATTACGAAAGAAGTTATGAAATGTTAATATTAATTAACATAGTTAGATCCTTATAAACCAGTTCTTCATATCGATCTTTAAAATCCACTCTTTCAAATCATCCGCTGGGGCATGAAGAATCATTCTCTTTACAAAATATAATCCCTCCAATTAAAATTTAATATGCAAAATTAATATTATTCATTAGAATTTAGAAACCCATACACTCTTGTTCATTCATATGCAATCACAGATACAATGCTTGATGTAATAAAAAAAAATTAACGTTACAAGGTAGAATACTGTTACTGTAATGCATATTATAAAGAAAAACGTCTGCCGACGACGCTGTTATATATGAAGCTGATAACTTTTATAAAAAGACTCATTTAGACCTATATTAGTCATAACTAATTAATATAGATTTTTAAATCTTAAATAACATATTATTGAAAATAACTCCATTTCTTTATAGAAAAAGTTTGAAGATAATTAAAAGGATAGTAAGGAGAGAAAGTGAGTACGTACTGGTCTCTCGTTAGAGTTTATACGAAGATGTATTAAATCCTTATTTTATTAGCAGAATGTTTGCTGGATTTGTTGAGCCAATTCTTCTGCACTTAGTTGGCACTCAATTCCAATCTATCAAAAGAAAAAAAGACAGAGATATAGATAATTGTCAATTAATATTCAAAATCTAGATTATATTCTTTTGTCATCTAGCTACAACCATTGAATCTATTCTTTATTGGAAAAACTTATGCATGTATCGGATATAGAAACTAAGTCTTGACCGACCAACAAACAAAATCAGTAAACTGCAGCAGCTTGACTTATTTGAATAAATGTCAAATATATAAAATCATATATTTCGAATTTAGAATTCTTAGATTTAGGATGCACTTCAATGTTCACATAAAATAGAACGAATGAATGTGTAATACCACAAACACGTGTTATTCCCACCTTGGTTTAGAAAAGAAAGTCAAATGTAAATATTAAGATTTTTTTAGTAAATACATAGAAAACAAAGAACAGTTTAGTTTTGTATGCTTGTGAACAATCTGACATACCCTATGTTTGTGTGCATTTATGTATATATACAATGTAGATAAGAATTATGTATCTTACACTGAATTTCTTATATTACTATAAACTGAGTACGAATTTATGTGACTGTATGAATTATTACTTATTACAGAACCCTACCATTTTCTCCCCACCATATATCCTATGTAAGAAATAAATGTATGAATCACACTCATTAAACAAAAAACACACTAGCAAAATCAGTGAAAATTAATTAGGATGATTATTCGTACGTACCTTGATGGTGAAAGAATTAAGCATGGTTTCGTCGACGGTGTTAATATTAACCTGAAGAATCTCGAGAGCCAAATCTTCAAGAGCAGCGATTATCTTCATAACCTGTCCCGGTATCTTATGCGACACCGTTTTGAGCAGCACATTAGCTCCTGAGAACTTCACTTCCACGTCAGCCAAAGCCGATTTTGAGTTCGCAACGAGCTCATTTATCACACTACTCTCATGGTTACTGCTAACTGAAGGAGAGGAAGAGGATGAAGCTGGAGAGTATGGAGGTGGGTCTCCTAAGCTGCTGCAACTGGCCAGTGAGCTATAAGAACGAAGAGGAGGCTGTGGAATGAGTGGTAGTTGCGGCGGATGGGCCCGGTATGGGCTTGTGGGCTGAGGGGTTCGAGGGCTTATGGGAGGGAGGAGGAGGTGGTGGTGGATCTGGTGGTGGTTGATGCGCGGGCTAAGAGGCGGTTTCCGCGGGCTTAGGACAGGCGGTGAAGGACGAGGACTCGGGACTAGTCTCGGGCTTAGGACTTCCGCGTAGGTCTTACGTTGTTTCTTGGCTTCCAAAGATTGAAGAACTTGTTGAAGCTCACTAATGTATTCCACAACTCCTCCTATGATCGATGCTTGGTCCCCCTTTAATTATGATCAGAGGAAAAGACAATATAAGTCAATATGGACATTCTATCAATCACATTGTGACGTGAAAAAAGGAAAAGAAAAAGAGATGATTAGTGGGACCAAATGTCATTATAATTGTCATTATTCCTAAAAACATAGATATGATACTATTGTTGTAATTGATGTTTCTAAGAAATGATATGATAGTTAGGTATACCAAAAAGATTAATTGAACAGACCTTCTATAGTATTTGTTAGATAGAGTATTAACTAAAATAGTATATGGATGTATCGAATTTACCCGTTTGACGTAGAAACAAGGCATAAGAGAACGTAAAACGGTTAAGTGCTCGTTCATTTGCTTTCTCCTGTTACGTTCCACGGTTACATGAGACATCTTTTGTTGCCCATCTTGCTTATTCTCTTCTTCTCCTTCTCCTTCTCCGTCTTCTTCGTCTTCGTCCTCTTCTTTCTCCATTTCTAGTCTTTGCCTCTTCCTCTTAGGAGATGAGGTATCATGGCTTTGATCCTTTAGTAACTCCTTGGAACTTGTGGTTCCATCTTTGGGTGTAGATGCAGCCGTGGGAGATATCTCTCCAGCGCCTTCAAGACTCTCTAAGATGGCAAATAGGTCATCTCCGGCTAGTGAAGTGTCGACAAATTCACACTCTTCAAGAAAATCCGGTATTATCTCCTGCATAGTGACTAAAAATCTCTCTCTCTCACACACACACACACACACACTCTCTCTCTCTTCCTCGTTCGTTTTGTCTTATGGTTAGATTCTAAGAAAACAAAAAGCAAATTAAAAGAAAGATTTAGAGAAAGAAAGAGACGCGCAGAGAGACATATCAAGTTGAGAGACAGAGATAGAGTGTGGATGCCAAAAGGAGTAAATATGAGGGACTCGCATTCATCGAGGACTAAACTATCGCTATCAAATTTCAATATTTATTATAATATTTTGAGTGGGTTATTTATTATGCGGTTTGTGCCGTTGGATGAAATTTGGGGAGAATCTAGGTTTTTGGGTGTGTCATTTATGTCTTAGATATAAATATACATAAATATATAGGGTACGTTTTATTGTATACTTTATATATGCAAAGGGAAAGATACATAAATTCCTTAGGAAAAAGATTTTTATGGGTTTTGTTTGGGTAAAATTTTGAATAATCACAAGGTCGGTATAATTGTTTTTTGTACACACAAACATGTCATGCACACAAACACGGAAATGTAGGTTCTTTTGTAATTAATTTACGTATATTTTTGGGTTGTGAGTGGTCCGGCCAATCCCGGTTTTCGAGTAAACATATACTACAAGAAAGAAAGAAAAAGATATTTGAAGTGACTGAAATCACACATTTATTTTAGCGCCCTCGCTCGTGAGACAATCAATTGAATGATATGTTGTACAATCGCATTATGGATCAATTATTCACAAACAAAAAAAAAACTATACGAATCTAGATACTTCCTTTTCGATTGATAAACAATTTCAAACATATCGGCATAATTGTCGATGACAACAAGTTATCGATTCTTTACTTAGCATACACTTGGCGTCGCTAATTTCAGCCAACGTTGATAAATTTTGTAATCATGCTGAGTTTTGGCAAATAATGTGTCTTTTATACAATTGATAACAATTTCAAACATATCGGTATATTTATATATAACGGCATATATATATATATATATCTTTTAAAAATTCATCTTTAAATTGATACAAGAAGAACACCATTTTGCTTTTAAGAAAATAAAAGACAAGGTATAGATCTAAGGCAATAAATACTTGATGTAATACTAGTCGTGCCTCATTTTGTCTCTTCAAAATCAAATTGATTCTTGAGGAGCCACCCTTCATTTGAGCTTTCCCTTTCAAAAAAATTTGAAAATATTTTGTACAATAATATATATAGGTTTTCCGTATATATTATAATGATAGTAGTCCAATAAAATGTTTTAGAATATAAACAAAAATTTAAGATGGAGCCAAGACAAAACCAGGTAGACGTTAGGTTTGAAGTTAATGTGTTGGCTGTCAGATATTGTTTACCTGACCATGTCTTTTTAGCAACGGGTCTCTTCTCCTTTATGTTTTATTTCTAGCCCAAAGTAATAGAGATCAAGATATAAAAAACCAGAGTCGATAATTGAAAACATAATCAATTGAGGAAATCATGTATTTTTTCTTTATATTGTAAATATGCAATGATTATATATGTCATGAAAATATCGAAAATGAGATGTTGTTTTTTAATAACATGGTCTTATCTGATGTATCAAATTCCGAACTGATATCAAAATCTTTAGTTGTCATGATATCCGCAGTGGTTAAAGGTACATACAATGTAGAATTCGTTTTTTTCGATCGAACTAACCAAACCAACACAATGTACTACAAACAAACCAAAACAAAAATGGAAAATAGATGGTTCTATAATTTATGAGTAATTTTGTATATAATACATAGTAGTGTTACTAAAGTTTTTTTTTTTTTGCCAAACACTAATGTAACAAAAGTTTAATTATGCATGCATGCATGATATTAATTTGAGATACGACTCGGATCCAAGATGTTATTCAATTTCATATACACCCTTTTTATGGAGACTATGACATGCATTTAATTAATATTCGTACAGTTTTGTCTTGCACTATTTATTTCTTAAATCAAAATCAACAATACTATAACAGCGTTGCTCTTGATATTATTGTGACGAAAACAAAAAGAAAACCGATTGAAATAAATTTATTTCATGTGATATGATATAACGAAAACGTTGATTATATTCTTCCTGTAGTCTCAATTAAGTCACGAGTTGGCGTTGGCGTCGATAATTACTAATCAAAACAAACAAACAAAAACTCGAGAGACTAAAAGAATATATATAAATAGTGAAATTTATTGCCCTTTTAAAAATAATAATTGACTTTTGAAACTATTAATCAGAAAAATTGAGAATGAGAAAGAGAAAAAGAGAAAAAGAGATAGATATGAAACAACGTATCTGCAAGTTGAGCAGAAATCAGTACTTCGGGAACCAAATATAATAAAGATGGTGGGCGGCTTTCAATGATCGGACATGCCTTCTCCGTGCCCGAGATTCTACTTCTACATTCATCCACATGCATACTTATCATCATACATGCATCCATGTTTATATGTACTATTATCCTTATCACAGTGATGATCATGATCTTTGTGCTGTTTAAGGTTTAAATTTTGTAAAGCCGTGTATAGTAAACAAAACAAACTTTCAAAATTAAAATTTAAAAGCATACATTACAGTACTACAGATTAGATTATCTATTTACAAGTAGTTAGATCTTTTCGTTTTGAACTCTCTTTTGTAAGATTCTAGATATTTTTAATGAATATGATGGATATAGATTTAAAAGAAGAGAACACGGCGGGTTTTTGACAAATAATCTCTTTTTGCAAGTGTAGCAGCGACTCAAACTTCGCAACAAATGATTATTTTTTTCCCTACGTATATATCTGATCTCAATCTGACTTCTAAATTGCTTGTATTCAAGAATCGGATCATACCGTTTATGATAGTATGTAAATATCGTTTATGATGTTTTTTTGTTAAATGGTTAGATTAATTTATATCGTCTATGGTGTGATGTCAATCATTTTAGTCTCTCTTATTTTTTCTATAACTTAACATCAAACACATTGAAAATAGTATATTCTAGATTTTTACCCATTCAGATGGGAAAGATGGAAAGAAAAACAAGAGCAAACTTTCAATGAACGATGTTCATCTACGAAACTGCGAAACAATGTGAGGAATATTAAAAACAAATTCCTCTAATTGCCATATTACATGCATCATCAATATATATTCCATTCATCTTAGTTTGATGTATGTCTGTCAAGTGTTCCAAATCCTTAGTGGTCATGGAAAAACGGAATTTAAACGTGATCGAAATTATAGATTTTGTTAGTGTGTTAACTTAAGTTATTTCAGAACTCATATATGAGATGCAAATTAGGAGATTTGTTTGAGGTCTTTGCCTCTTTGGCATGTCGTCTTTCTAGATAACCAAATCTACATTTTAAGGTATATGTGAAAACGTATTCTCAAATGTGACTAAACTAAAGATTTAGTATCATTCGAACAACACGCATCAAATAAATAACACATACATGCATTAGGTAACTCTGCAACGCATATACATGCATACATATAAACGTTACGTTGTATTTATAGACAAATGCGTATACGAGCTTGCATGTGTTTATGGGGAGGACTAACGTAGTTGTGGACATGGACAGTAGGAGTCGCAATGGGGACCAAAACTCAGTGTGCCCGAAATGGCTAAATGCTACGCCTACATCCTACGATCGATTCAGACAAGGAAAAAAGCAAAACCCTAAGTTTGTAGCTTTTAACTAAAATCAGCTCTACAACTCTAGCTCCGATCGAGCATTAAATGGTTCTTTGAGCTACATCAAGGCCTCGCGTGGATAAGAAACTGACGAGATAAATAATAAATAATAATGAAAAACCCTAGAAAGATAAGCAAATGAACAACAATATATAAACCCTTTATTAAATAAAAGAACATATATATTATACATACACGTACACAAATATGAAAAAGAACAAAACCTTTGAGTTTTAAGTAGATATATATAAGCTCAAATTGTGTAATAAAATAATTAATGTGTTAAAAAGAAAGTAGATACAAGCTTCTGGATATCGGAGCCAACCATTACCTTTTCTCTTTGATTAATTTAAAATTCAAAATTTTTTATATAATAATAGCACTACTATTACATATATTTGTCTCTTTCTATGTGCTTTTACTACATTTGCATGACAACAATTTAATTTCCTTAATTTCTGCCTGCACCCTACCTACGTATTACATCCCTACACGTCTCTCGTCTCTGTAATTCGGCAGTACAGTAGGACACAACTATGTGGTGTTGTATAAAACTATGTACATATCTCTCTCTGTTACATACCAACGGTAAAATGTGAATATATGCATAAATTGGCAAAGGTTTTGTACTAGAAGCAGAATCTAAGGCTTTTGAATTATGACAATTTTATTTCAATGTTTATTTGGGTAAAAAATAAAATCGATTCTAGTAGAAACAAAAATGTAGAAGTAGCTGAAGAGGTGAATGAGATGGGTCCTACTTAAACTTTAATCACTACGAAGATCTGAAATATCATTTACTCTCACCACGAAATACATGAGCTGCGCTTTATTGCTCTCTTCCTCTCTCTCTCTCTCTCTCTCTCTCTCTCTCATTTCAATGTGCCATATTGCATGATTACATATTATGAGTTTCATCATCTATGAAAGACATATATCGTAGGTAATAATTGTGTTTGTAATACGAATTTGTTTCCTAAAAAACAACTTAGCTTATTTTTGTTTTCTTTTTCGATTTACAGTAATTGACAGTTATAGAACAATATATCTATTTATTTTTATAATATTAAAACTTATTTTAAAAAAAATTGTGAGTTACACAGAAGTAGTATAAAGAGGTTTATAGAGCTTTTAGTAGCAAACATCATAAAATATAGAAAGTCAAGGAATAATCCATCAAAATTACCAATTACTTATGATTATTAGTTTCCCTTGACTCTTCTTTTCTTAGACATTTTCCTGTTTTTTATTCTTTTTTTTGGCACGGAAATCTCTACAACCTTTGTAATATCTTTACAACCTTTCTCAATTTTAGTGAAATTTAAATATTTGGCAAAAAATAATTACCAATTTATTATATTTTAAGGAATTGACCAATATATATAGCACAATTCTCTAATGGAATTGTTTGCATGTTGGCAAAAACAAAACCAATTTGTTTTTTGCAGATTGTATATATATATGATCTCGGCTTGCCAGAAAACACACAATTACAATACCT